CCTATGAGGAGGGGTCAAACGTTTGGATTGACAGAAATTTGACATGGCGTGATTTGATTGGCTTAAGGCGGTTCTTTAATCGATTCGCCTAATATTAGTCCGGAACAAAACTATAGACGCACCTCCATTTTTTTGAGTTTGTCATAAATTTGAAGTTTTATTCAAAACCATCAAAGGCAAAAACCTTTAAACGGTGCTTCCAGGCACCTCTACAGAAGGATTCTGCTCAAGTATTTGTGGATCCCGAAAAAAATCAAATTTTCGAAATTTTGGGTGTAACAAAACTATAGGCGCACTATTTTGATTCGACATTTATAAGCCAATCAACGTTCTTTAAAGTAATCCACATGCTTACGAGTATTGCGTGTTCGACAATAATGTCTTCAATGTACTCAGACCACCATTTGAGCATGCCACGCGGCAAAAACATCACCGAGGAAGAAAAAGGCCAAATCAAGGCATTTCTGGGGCTGAAGAAGTCGTTGCGATGGATTGCAAATGCCATCGGACGAAGCGACAAACTCGTGCGGACATATGTTGGTCAACTCCGACAGCCAACGACGCCCAATAGACCCGGAAGACGCATCAAGCTGACGAAACGTGAGATCCGACGCGTATTTCGGCTCGCTACGCGCAAGGGAATGTCATCTAGACAGATCTCGGCTGTTCTAAGTGGTAAAGTAAAGCATACCACCGTGCTACGTGTACTTCAAATGTCAAAATTCGCTAAGTATATAAAACGCCGGTCCGGACCCCGCCTCACCCCCCAACACAAGAGAGACCGCGTAGAATTCGCCGCCCGGTACCTCAACCAGCTCGACGTAATGAAGACTACGATGTTCACTGATGAAAAGAAGTTCAACTTGGACGGACCCGATGGCTGCAAGTATTATTGGCATGATTTGCGAGAAGAAGTTGAAACGTACTCTAAGCGCGTGGCTGGTGGTGGCTCAGTGATGGTGTGGGGTGGAATGAGTTTTCACAACAAGAGCGAACTTGCGTTCTTAGAGGGCCGTCAAGACTCTGTCAAGTACCAAGACACCCTCAGGGGGTATCTCTTACCAGCAATGCGTGCGCTGCGTGGGTTGACGCCAAATGGGGAAGCGGTTTTCCAGCAAGACAACGCCAGTATTCATCGCTCACGGTCGACAATGGCCTGGTTGGAAGGAATGCCGTGGACTACGTTGACTTGGCCTGCTAAGAGCCCTGATTTGAACCCGATCGAGAATGTTTGGGGGGTTCTAGCGCGCAAAATTTATGCACATGGACGTCAATTTGACACCAAGGCCCAATTGAAGGCCCAGATCATGGGAGGAAATTGATCAAAAGTACCTATCGCACTTGGTCGATGGTATGCCAACTAGAATGGCCCAAGTTATCCTTCGTCGTGGACAATGTATCGATAAATGAGCCAATATACATAGTGCGTCTATAGTTTTGTTACACCCAAAATTTCGAAATATGGATTTTTATCTGGATCCACAAAGATTTGAGCAAAATCCTTCCGAAGCACCATTTGAAGGTTTTTGTCTTTGATGGTTTTGGATAAAACTATAAATTTCATGACAAACTAAAAAAAATAAGGTGCGTCTATAGTTTCGTTCCGGACTGTAAGACATTCGATTCTGCTGAGTTAGAGCATCCCCACCGCATGGACACACCAATATCCGCATAGTGTTCGGATAACAACTTCCAGTATTGTAATGCACTGATAATTCAGGATAATTCGCACCGCAAAAAGCGCAACTCCAGCCAGTAAATTCACCATCATTCGACCAGCCTGAGTGGAAACCCGCGTTAATTTCGACAATGAGGTATGCTTATCTCCAGGAATGGCACGCAATGATACGCAACATTTGTGCATATGAAAGGCCCTTACAATGGGTACCAGCAAAGTTAAGTGGATACTTGTGCAACCATTTGCATTGTCAAACATTCCCAAATATCAAATCTGTGTTCACCGCGCAACAATCCACTCTGTGAGAAATCACTGCCAAAATCGTCAAAACGCATCCAGAGCTCGAGGTATTCGCGCAGCGCTCATGTGTCCAACGTGTAAATAATATGTAGCTGTCGACGGTGAAGCTACAGTAAGTTGCCCGTGCACCAGACCTCAGTCAACACAGCAAGGAGGGGCAGGCAAGAGCTGAGTCTCACTCCACCTTTGGTAACTTCGTTACAGTAATCGCCAGGTTATACGAGCGCGTTGTTGGTGTTGATAAAAAAGCTAGGACTTCTGACGTGAAATTGGATGCACATTTGCATACACTGTAGTCCCTGAACGAACTTCCTTATCTGGTTGATGGCATTCGATATTTTGCGCTTTCCGTTGGGTGGGTGATGCTGAATTCTTACTCGTTCTCGTTAGGAGTCGCAACCTCGAATGCAAATTCTATAGCCAAGAATCAGGGAAATACTGTGCTTAAAATCCGAGCTGGAAGGCTTCCAATCCAACGTTAATGCAGACGCCCAAGATGGAGCTCGCACACTCCTGGTAGGGTTGGCAACCAACATCAGTGCACACTGTACATGTCAGAAGATGGTCAGTTTATGCCAGTGATATGTTCTTTCGGAGTAGTAAGTACTACCGTATGTTTATTAGGGGAAGTTTAACGTAGTTGGCCGGTGCACGGGACAGTTTACATGTTAACAAGGTGCACTGAAATTGGTTAATGGAATTCCTTAAATTTTGATATAAAGTTAACGTTAATCGAATCGCTAAAAAATGAAATCACCAAACCAGCATACATATTTTAAGCTTAAACCGTGTACCATTCCGTCCAATACTTTCTTTGCCTTGACATGTATGAAAATCCAAGTAAGTTAAATAAATGAAGTCTATTCAAGCCGATTACAATTGGCCATCTACGTTAATAACGTTAGTGTCGACATGCTGCGCATTTCCGCTACT